CAAAATTATGCAATGTAATTGATTTCCATTCAATAAAAAATATTATAATTTCTGATGCAACTCATAATAAAACTGAAATAAAAATAGGGAAAGTAAATACTGCAAAATTGGCAGTATCCCTATTCATTTTTGAACGGTACATTATCGAACACCAAAAACCAGTAGCATTAAAAATAAATATGATTTAGTGCTAGTGGTCGAAACGATATTAAATAAATATAAAATCCATTAGGATTAGAAGACAGATATTTTGTCATTTGAGAGCAGAGGTCAGTGACATCAATGAGCTATGGGTCCCTGGGCATTCGGGAGGCAATGACAGGCCAAAAAAGGAGCCAACATAAGGCCAGAATCTAGAGCCCAAACCCACCCGCAAGACTTATAAAGGAATTACCTGGGGGTAGCAGCAACAGAACCGTGATTCTGGTAGGACCTCTGATAGGGCACTGCCGCCTAGAAGGCAGGTACAGAAGAAACAATGTACATTTACTGCCAGGAAGAAGAGGAGACCGCAGAACAAGTTTTGTATTTATGTGAGGATTTATGAAGGTTACATTCCTGCAACTAGGAGAGGAAAAGCCTTGCTAAGTCTTGGAGGTTGATTAATAACCTGAAGCAAGCCAGTGATTTATAACATTAAAGGTATACAATAGATCTACTCACAACCTGAGTAGATATGTAGAAGGCTTTCTGGCCACCTCTTTTATCCCTATTCCCATGGCACAATTTATTGCAAAGATATAGGCTTGGATGATCGACGAGAGTGTCAACGAGTTGTAAGCAGATAGTTTTCACTTTTATCATAGTACAATTTTAGATCGATTTGCGAAATAAATCTGTGGACACACAGGAATAAAAATATAATTTGTGAAAGCCAGAATTACAAACCTTTTATGGCGTGTTTATAACCGTACATGAACGTTCGTACAGTTGATGGGTTTCGTACCTAAAAATCAATTTATTATATTATTTACCTAATAGTAATCATAATATTGTATTTGTATTTAAATATAATTTTCATTTTCTCTCTTTATCTCATTTTCTTTCTATCCCGATAGTGAAAAGTTTTTTAATTTTCGATTCCTATTTTAGCCGACTTTTTATTAAGATGTGGTCAAATTATGGTTATAAAAGGACATAGGGGATTTTCCGAAAGAGTCCCCTGGCCCCTTTCTTTTAGGACTGGGCCTTGCCGAGAATTGAGAGGCAATAAGAAGGGACAGAGGTCGTATTTATCCAAAGCAATACCAGGGAGGATCAGCCTTTCTCGGTCCCTACCCGGTCAATGTAATGTTCCACTTAGGAAGCTCCCTCTTCCGACACACATTCACCCCCCTGTGAAGAAAAAGAGGTGAACTTGTATTTATTGCAAAGTAACTTTTTCCCTCTAAAAGGCACGGCGAAATAACTATTTCCCGCTAGAGAAATATCGATAGGTTTTTTAAATCTTTTTAACCGATTATCCGCTTTACGAGAAAGAGAACATGTTAGAATGTTCGGATGATTCCAAAGCGTTCAGGAATCTAATCAACTCTTGCCATGGCTTTTTTTATCGCCGATGGGCGTCAAACCTACCGGAAAAGCTGCAGTTCCTTCGACGTTTTCCCAATACAGTTCCCGCTCCAATTTTCTTATAGCCTAAAAAAATCGGTTTATTATATCGCCGCAGTTTATAATAATTCTAATACGGAAATTAATTAACAGTAGACGATGGTTGAAACAAATTAATATAGACGACAAAGATTTTGTGCTACCTACTACGCTACTACTTTCTAATCTTCCTCACTTTTACTTAACAACACGGCGGCCGAAAAACAGAAACTATTTTAACAGGATTTCAGAAGTGTTAACAAATAAAAGAAAAGAGGTTTAACAATTATATTTGATTTTTTAAAACGTGATTTTGAGGAAGTTTTAATGTCATAACTGTTGCTACATCATTGTATCCTTGTTGTTTTTAATTTATGACTTCCTTAATTTTAAAACAGGTGGTTAACGATCCTATCTTTTAGGCAGCAACATTTAATTAAACCCATTTGTCAGTGGAACGCGGACCGGTAAAAATAAATAAATAATACCAATTGTTTTAAGCCGTGAAAAGTTCCTTGGGCCCTTCTCGGGGAGAAGTCGGAAGGTGATGGATTAGCTCCGAAAGCGGAAGAGACGCATCAATCAGACGCCGGCGAGCGAACGACGCGGCGATTTGTTTCAATTCACTTCACAGGGGATAAGTGTGAGGGGGTCGAGTTTCTGAATTACCACCCCTTGGCCTTTTTGAGGATATTGGACCCGGCATCCATCAACAGTCTTACATCCGGATAAAGTTTCTCTACTAGTAACACATCTCTCATCCGTGTCATTTAAAATCTATGCTTTCCAAAGATTAAAGTTGAATAAACCGAATTTCATTTTTTTATTACTTCGGGATCAATTGAAAGCAAAAGATTTATAAGAAAAGTTATAATAAAGTTATCAATTCGTAGAATATGTTACAATTTGAAGTTGTTCGCAGTTTGTTTCCGTCTATGGATTATACTGCTTAAACCCCCCCCCCCCGCCCCCGACAAATGTATATGGGAATTTATGTAATTATTTGAACTTTCATAACTACATTCAGATAATATCTTCATTTTCGTCCAAAAACGGAAAGGTTTATCACTAAACTGTAATAAAGAAAGCAGTAAATAATAAGATTATGCCATTCATGTTTAGTGGTCTAATTGACCACATTAACAATTTCAATTAATTATTCTTTTTATGTACGATCTTGGCTCAGATAAAAAAGTTAGTGTCACGAGCGGGACGCGAACCTACTATCTTCGGCTCAATACCCACCTGTTCTAACCACTTGAGCTATCGTGCCTTCGACCTAGTCGGGCACCAACTTCCCATCTCAACCTACAACCTTCGCATTTTACCTCATTTTGCCACTTTTCCCGCTCGTGGCACTAACTTTTTCATCTGAGCCAAGATCGTACATAAAAAGGACAATTAACTGAAATACGATTAGGATTGAGTATTTAATCCAAGCAAAAATTACGATTTCGGACTGCTTTTCGAATTGGCGAGAGAAAAAAAATCGATCTGACTACTGATAAACTACTGCAATTTTTCACGATTTCGACAATTTTTTTCGTAGAGATGATGCTTAATAAACCATTAATTCAAACCTTCACACCGCTACAATTTTTTTTCTTTAAGTGATTTATGTTGTAAGTATGAGCAAAAAGTTTTAAATACAAATCCTGGTTGATTATCATCCGTTTTCTCGTGTTTTTATTTATTTCAGAGTTCCTCGTTGAAGATAGCGGAAAACCCAAACACGTTTGAGCAACATCAAAAACCCACGTGTGTAGACGACCCAATGCCGGTTCAACAAAACAGTTATTTACGCACCAATAATAAATAATAAATACCAAATGACTAGACATTCTTAAATGAAATCTACTAAAATAGAATTGTATTCCAACAAATATATCAATAATAGAATATAATTCTTTCAAACCTCCTTCCGAAACCCTTCCAGTTACGTTTATTTTTCCAAAACTATTGTGTATACGAAAATCTGGAGAGAAATTTGACGCTATTGTATTAAGGTCAATACTGAATAAGTGATCCTAACATAAGAATTGGTTGTCACAATTAAAAATTGTTCCAAAGAAGGGATCGGCCCAACCTAGACTTTTAAAGCCCAGGTCCTACAGGCTATCCATCGATCGGTCTGACTATATAGCCAGATACCTTGTTTAAATATTATTATCTTTCAATAATTAAGAACAATAAAATTGATATTTGTGAACCCGCTAAATTTTAAAGAAATAGAACTTTTAAATTTAGAAAAAACGAAGAATTTTAAATTTGATTTTTATAATGATTTATTAATGAATTTAGAAATTGTACAGATGTAGATGTAGATATAATTTCAGGGTGTAGTATACTGGGCCCTTTAAGAGCTATTGTATTCCCCGTGTTCTGCCTAAAGCACATCGGTGAGTCCTATTTCATGAAGAAACTTGATTAATAGGCCCGGTTTCAATGGTTGAAGCTCTTCTATGGTCACATTATACATCCAAAAACATTTCCTCCTGCGGGCTAGAGTAGCTCTGCAGTTTGTTAGTAGAAGTGTTGGTATCTCTTTGCAGAATCTGCATGTGCCATGTTGGATTATTCCAATCTTCTTTAAGTGTCCGTTTAACTTGCAGTGTCCTGTTAGGAATCCTATTAGGATTCGCAGTTTATTCCTACCAGAAAATATACAACGAAAGAATATAACTTTTACCAAGAATAATAAAGTAATTAAAAGAAAATATTATTTTTAATAACTGAACATTTTCTTCATTGAAATCTAACTGTTTAACGATCACAGTGAATTTAAGAGTGTACTCACTAGACCAATTAAATTCATTAATTGAAGTGTGTCGAGATGTTTCACGCGCGAGGCTTGATTAATTGGCCTTTCTGTTACACTGAGTCCAAAGGTGTGTAAATTATATCAACATTGAGGAGGATTGTCTCACACAGGGACAACAATTGTAATTTAAAAAAAATTTAGCATAAAAATTTGGACATAAAACGTGTGGTTCGAGCATAATTTTGTTTTTCTATTTCTTGTTGTCGATAGCTAACTATTGTTAATATTATTTAACTTTCCATTGTAACACAAATTGCAATGTAAACAATTAGTGACTTTTATATTGTCCGTTTGTCAAGTGAACATGCATAAATGTTTTAATGATGTATAAAATTGCCGTTGAGTTTGCGTTGACGAAGTTGGATGAGCTGAAGCTTCCTAAAATGGAGGTCGGAATCTCTCGATTTTCCAAACCGTACGAATCTCATAAATGTTAACAGTGCGAAACTGTGGTGGGACTGGCGGTCGACAGAGCCGAGGACACAACATTTTCACAACGAATTTTAGCAACCGTTATAATTCAACGGTTTCAGACCCGATGATGTTACTGAACCTTTTTCTATCTAACTGAACTTCTATTTGATTTCAGGTGCGGCTGCGGCGTCTCGAATCTACGTGGAGGCGATAACCAAGTTGGCAAGGCAATCGCAACAAGGGACATGGGGCGGATCCTCGGATATCGGTGAGTCCAGTTCCGAAGGTTCTTCTCAATCGTTTCGACATCGGACGATAACGATTAGTCAAGCGAGCATTCACTTATGATTGACGTTCGAATAATTCGACGTGTAACGGGCATCTCTGAATTCGATCCCGGGTCAAACGATGTTGTGTTCGTTGATGACTCTTTTCACTTCAGATAGCGATTATTGACAACTCGCCGATTGTTGTGCTTCATCCTTCTGTCTGACTCTATTTACCGTGTTGATAATTCTTTTAAATAATCTTTTTTTTTGTACGCAGTATAATTAAAAATAATTATTTATCTAAACTAAAAACCTTAATTAATTAAAAATAATGAAATTCTAACTCAAGAATGAAGCACGGTGTCTTCAACATTTTAAGAGTCGCAAAAGACAACAAAATTATTTAAATTTTAAAAAAACAATAGGCTAATTAATAATAAATAATTAGGAAAAGGAACAAGATTGACCCAATGTTGGATAATTGTCGATTAACCTTTCTGAAAAAGACTATTGCAAACTCACACATTTTTCAAAACTGATTAACATAATTGACTTTTTTTACATAATTCGGCAACAAATAGTGCCTATTAATCTGGCGGACAAATTCTAGGGCTGAACTTTTAAAAACTCCCACTGAAACTGCAAAAAAATTTCAAAATGACTACCCGACATTAAACAAGTTTTTTTATTACATCAATTTTATTGATCAAACTATGGAAAATTACAGTTGTAGCAACACCATTTTATCAGTAGACAAAAGTCTAATTCACTTAAATTTGATTAAAATTACAATTATATTAAAAAGTAAACAACATTTAAGTACATTTGACCAAGGGTTCCAAAAGTACCCAATTTCGCCAATAGTAGTCTCATTCCTTCATTAAATCAGGTCTAGGTAGTGAAACTCATAACGGATTTCAGTTCAATTATTATATTAATATTAATTTTTAATCACGTCAATCTGGTTTTATTACCGACCGGTTATTATACGACCAGTATATGGACCTCCCAATTTTTAACAGCTACAGTGAAAAAAAAATTTATGAACTAACCAAAATTAAAAAGGATTTCGAAAATACCAACAGAGACGCGGAGATAAGGGTAAGAAACATGTGTATTCTATGCAAAGGGAAATATTTTTTTGGAAACTTTGAGAAAGAGAGTAATGGAGGAAAACATCAAGAAGAGAATAATGGAGCATCTAATGGGCAGGAAGAAGACACCAAAGAAGACTGGAAATCCTCACGAACCGATGGCGAGTTCAATAAAACGACCAGGACATAGTAGAGATCAAAGTGACCAAAATGGGAACCCAAACCACAAAAACGGGACATTAAGGCATTATATTACAATGTTAGAGGTTTAAAGAAAAAAAAATAGGCCAAAACTTCTTAGATTTTGTGTGAAATTGAGATATTATTTCTTGGAACTTTTGTTGTAGAAAAAGATACAGAAAATTTTAAAACAATGTTTCATGAATTTGATACTGTGTAAGTGTATTTAAAAAAACAAATTTTGGAAGAGTAAATGAGGGGAGTCAGATAGCAATGAAAAAAGGAAATTCCAGAATAATTAAATTCACTAATTTCGTGGTCCGCTTGACCAATTAATATATTACAATTAATTAAGATTTTTAGTTGAGATAAATAATGTCGTGTAATCGGTAACTTCCCATCTCCGAGAATCCAATCCGATTACAAGGCATTTTATATGCAGTATTTAATTAACGTTAATGAATGATTATTTAGATGATGATCGTGAGATGCAGTCCCCCAAACGATCTCTAAATAATCAATAAATTATATGAAATGAAAGAATTACCAATGGGGTTTCGATTATCCCCACTTTGTGCTGAAACATTCATGGATAATTTTTAAAAAATTCTTTTCAAATCAAACAACAAAAATAATTTAATCTGTTCTTTTTTTGAAATCGCTATGTAGACTATTTTATATAAACAGTAGGGAACACTAGAGGATCTAAAAGAATTCCGCCAACTAATTAATTCTCTACATCGTAATATACATTTTACATTGGAAATTAACAAATATGGTTCTTTAAAGTTTTTAGACTGAAAACTGTCCATAGTAAACAACCTAATCGAAATAGACGTATATAGACAACTCACAACTACAGACACCATTATATCAGCGGATTCTTTTCACCCATGGACACAAAAAGCTGCGAGTTCCATTAAAACTCCCTTTAACACCTGCTAACTACAAAAAAGAATTACAAACTATTAAAACCCTACCATAAAAGTATGGATATCAAGAAATATTTATTGATAGGTTGCTAATTAAAAGAATAAAACATTAATTTTTAAAGAGGCTACAATTAAACTCAACCACCCCATCACAAATGAACTATCAGAAAAAGTAGGTAAAATTTTTAAACAACAAGGTTTAGAGTATCTTTTGGAGGTACAAGTTCCCTTAGAAACATCCTCTCAAAGCCTAATGACAAAGTTGACAACTTGTCAAAAAGAGTGGTTTACCTATAAAGCGGTACAGAAATTAAAACGATAGTGAAAGAACACTTGCATAAATCGAACAAATTTTCGGAATTTAAGGACCATCTAAATGAGAGCAAACACAACTTATATTTAAATTTAAATACAACAGTGTTACATAGTTTCAACAAAGGGAGGGAACTAGATTGGTTTGAGAAATTGAAATAAAAAATATAAAACTGAACATGGAGATAAATGCATTAATAATATAATAGATTTTGATTTACCTCCTATTTTAAATATGTCCCTAAATAATACTAAATTAAGAAACAAATAATTACAATAATAATTTAATCAATTACTTTTTGTTTTATTATTTTATTTTTAATTTATTAATGTTTGGAGTCAGAGCTTTATAGCACTCAGAAGAGATATAGCTAACCTAAGATAGAAGGTTTGGATGTTAGGGCGTGAAATGACCTTAGCCGTTAAAACGCCCTTAAAAATTAATAATAATAATAATAATAATAATTTATTAATATATTATTAATGTATCGTTTTGATTTTAAATGTTTTAATCAATTAATAATTCTTTTGTTGCATTATTTATTAATATAAATTTTATTGTGTTTTAATTCCCTTTTTCCGCGTTGGCGGGGAATCGGCGGGTTCACTTTTACAATGAACGAGAGATTTCAAGCTGATGATAGCTGATGATGAGCTACAAGCTTGAAATCCGGATCGTTGAAAACAACTAACTCTGAGTAAGAACTATCTTTTGGTCAAGATTCAACAACATACTCACTCCTCCATTTATCTTTTCTACGGACTGCTGTCATGATGGCGAAAATGTTCTTATAATAAAGAAATATCCATGCTGAAAAATATTGTTCAACAACCTGTATGTAATGTATGTATGTATTAATGCATTAATCAGTTGTAAGGAATTTGAAAAAAGCATCAGCTCGGTAGACGGATTCAATCCATGTCTTGTGTGTTTTGGGTAAACACTTTAATGCCATCCATATCCAATACAATACGTTAAATTAGTACATATAAATAATAATTATATTTATTAAAAATTGTTCTAAACGTTACCACGCGATTATACACAGTGAAGTGTAGATTTTATTATAGAATATCAAACTTATAATAGAAATGCGCTATTTACATCACTTGACTTTTCCACCTATCGGGTGTTTGTCTTTGTATTGTTGCATGGAGGTCAATAATTTTATAGATTGTTTTTCCACGTTAAATATTCCATAAGGGATGACGGGAAGTCAGAGATTCTTACGTTTCCATTTGCGGTTGCAAGTTGCGTCGTGCAACAAGGGCCGAGTTTAGTCAAAAGGCGGTTTTGGAAGGATGACGAACCGCCGGAGGGTCGGGGTGTGGCTAAAGGCCTTGTTCTACACGGTTTTGTGGCTCGAAGCCATTTCCACCTGCACTCGGACGGACTGACTACCTTTTCCCCTTACCGCCGAATCGGCAATATATCCTCCTTTATCCCATAACCAGAAAATCCTGTTCAAATAACTGTGATTTATTCAAATTCGACCGGATCGATGGGATTGTTTGAAGGGCTGATCCAGAATGAAAAATTGCCTTGTAATGTAGTTTTATATTTCATAAGACAATGTTAAAGTATGAAATTTCTTTTTTCATACCAACTTAACATTTCTTTCAATCGTCAAAACAAATTTCGTCAGACGTCACGTTTTCCTTAATATTTTAACGTTTTTAATCGCGCCGCCTGCGTAAAAAATAGGTATAAATATGTATGTATAAAATAACTTTATTGCTTATAAAACTTTTTAAGCTTTTCCAACGTTTAATTATTTTTTTGGTAGAAGCATTGCGAAGCTCCTTCCGCCTCCTCCTCAGTACATTTTTTCTAAAATTTGTATTAATCAACAATAATAAAAGACATTATTAAACGTGAATAATATTTTATAAACCAACTTATGTTTTACATTTTGAGTATCAACAAACTACTGGTTTTTATTTCAACGATAAGTCGATTTTTTTTCTTATGGAGGACATATTATTTGATTTTTTATGCATTATTTTTAGTCATTTGTTCCGCTCTTTTTTTTTTTCAAATTATTATCCCTAAATATGCTAATAATTTCTGATGTTGGTTGCATATCTTTTCTTTTAGTAGATTTATAATTTTAAATTCTTTTTATGAAATATACTATCACATATAATAAACATGTATTAAGTGGGATGTTTAGCGTCTGAAAAACAGCGGGTTTTCCTTGTGTTCTGGTCTTTCACGCGTATTTTGTTTTAAATAAAGCCATTTGAGTTCTCGTTTAAAATAGTTTCAAAATCGAGTGGTGTATAAAATTTCAATACCATGTAGCTAATAGCTTCCTACAGATGCTTTGCTATTGTTCCATATACTTAACTCCATTTTCACTATTTTCGAGTTAACCCATTTTCCACAGCAACCAATTATACACCGTTTTGAAATTTTCATCGGGACTTTTTTTTGTTAACTTGTTTGTTGCAGAACAAAAAAAAGTATCTCAACAGGTG